TTTGGGGGGGGGGGGTGCTTGCTCCCCACAACGAGCTCGGCATCTATGCCCTGCAATCTCGAGGCGCCGGGCACGGACTGAGCGGGAAGCAGTTGTTCAAGCTCGGTAATATGATTTGGTGCCTAGTTGGTGAAATGGTCTCCAGTCTCTTGGTTTTTTATCGACGTTTTCATAGACAGGCAGACAGACAGGCATACCCGCATCTTCCATTTTCACCTCCCTCGCACTGTTTTTCGTTTTTCGTGCACATGCCTACCTGAATATCGTTGGGTACACCTCTGTGATCGACGGTCTGATAATATAGAAGTATTATTTAATCTGGCATCACTGATCCTTCAGCCACAATTGTAACAAATAGACAACATTAGCTCAGCATGCCTCTAGATTTTCTCAACACTCACTGCTGTACAAACTTCAAAGGTTTGGGACGTTATGTCGAACGGCCGGTCTTTCTGTGTTTTTGAGTGTTTTGGTTATTTGCATCTACCGCGCTAACCGCCTAACCAACCGCCTAATCAATGCACATTCATTTGTGCGAGCGGAAAAAATCAAGTTCCCTGGAAGGGGGACAAACTTCGACAAATGCACAATGTACTGAAGGCGAATGCCAACATTTTCGAAAGACACGCACTAAAACTTTTCACATCCTCCTGTCTCGAACCTAGCAAGCCATTGATGGAAGGAGCGGAGGACAACACAACAGAGTTTTCAAGCGCATCCGGAGCCAGATATCGTTGTATGCTGCATCTCCTAGGTGATTATCGTACACTCCTGAGATCAGCAGGGTGGTACTAGACTACAAAGTAGCACCCACCGTGTCTTAGTTCCACATGTGCCCTTGCCTGAACCTAGCAAGCCGCTGACAGTAGAAGAAATATGTCAAGCCCAGCCGAAGTCGAGAGTATCGTTGTATGGTGCATGTCCCAATTTGATACTCGTACATTCCCAACATCCAACAGTCATTTTTTCAGCAGCCAGAAGGGCCATACAAAATGACACTCATTCGCATAGCTCCACACATGGCTTTGCTCGAACCAAGCGAATGCGTGTGGGTCGTCGTCCCATGTACGATGACGCCACTCTACACACCTCTCGGTGTGTATGTTTGACGTATCAGCCGAGGTCACCCAGAAGATAACTTTTTGTGAACAACTTTCCTCCTGCGGTACCTTCCTTACGGTAGTTTTTTCGCGAAAAGGGTTCAGGCGTGACTGTATGTATTTACTACTTCTCATATTTCAGATCAAATACCAGGGTGACGAAAAATAACATACCCGGTGGCACAATTTTGATCACCGGGTGTGTTCTCTGGTGTACGTCGGCCAGAAGGAGTGACTCTGAGCCGGATGTCCTTGTTGTTGCCGCCGCTGCTGCTGCTGCTGCTGCTGCTGCTGTTGTTGTTGTTGTCGTTGTTTGTCGTTGCTCTTCTAATCAATTACCGCTCGCATCCAGTCCTTGGTTCCCTCACTATTCTCTTCAACGAAAGGAAAACGATGGTACTACTGGTGAAAAAATCTTCAGATTTGTCAACGGTCTGACTCTTGTAGTTGCTCGCAGGCTACGGTATGCAATTCCACATGTCTTGAGTGTTATGGTCCTCGGTGTAAAGTCGTCGACGAGTACTCCTCTGTGCCAGTGTTCTAAGTTCGGGGTGTGAACGTTCAATACTGTGAGTCACGGAGTGTCAGGGGTTGATTGGATATGTTATCCAAGGAATTCGATTGCCGAAACGTGCATGTTCAGGAACCATGAAACACAGTAGTATATTGCCCAGTCACGGCTTCTTCTTCTGATAAGAATGCCCTCACTCACTCTTGTTCTTGGCATCGGACAGGTCGTTGAGCACCACCGCGTGCAAGACACGATGGCTGACGCAGAGGCGGCACCAGCGAAGCATTTCGTCCACACGCAGGCTTCTCATTTCACTACCATCTTCTTTTTCTACGCCTACGGTGAGTTTGCGCTTTGTATTGAAAAACAGCTTCTACAACGTGTAATGATTCTCCCGCTTGCACTGCTTTCGAAGTGCGGAAGCATTGACGACATGGCGGCGTACGTGCTTGTCGTCGCATCGCAATGGTACCTCTCTGGCTGCGTGGTCGGAGTGAAATACTGACACGACTTCGCATCTTCTGCAGGTTTTCCCCCCGATTTCGTGGGTAAAGTGGTACCCAACAAGACATATTCAGCCGCCTCACCCAAATGCGTCCCCGTCGGGAATTCTCCGGCCCACAGGGAACACCCCTCCCACGGATCTTCTCCAGCATGTGCCGCACGACGCCGAGCGTGCCGACGTTCTCAGCCTCGGCTGCAGTGACCTTCGAGATCTACTCTATTCTGTACTTCTGCATGGCAGGCGGGGCGTGAGCTGCGGCCCAGTGCCTCGTCAGCTGTCGTTTACCTTGAACGACTGGGAGCCCGCCATCCATGCCAGGAATCTCATGCTCCTCCAGATGATCCTCGACTGCCGTGGCCTGCTAAATGCTGAGGCCGATGGAGTTGACGACGTCGTTCGCGGGATGGACACCGTGGCTGTTGATGCCGGCTCGGGCGGTCGGTCTATCCCTGAGGCGGCAGGCAAGTCGGTGGGCAAAAGGAAGGCGGCCAAGAAGAAGACATCGGACAAGACCGCTACCAAGCCCAGTCTTCACGGTGCGGCGTTCGCCCAACGGATAGGCGTGATCTTCAGCGCCATGTACAACATGTTTGTGGACGCTGACACACTGAAGATGGTCCACGAAGTCGCCCGAAGGCTGGCAAGCTCAGTCGCATCCCCCGCTGAATGGTCCTCGACAGAACTAGGAAGAATCGTCCGCTTCGCCGACGACCGCAGTCAAGACCGCGTGCGCGAAATCTTGACCAACTACACCGACGATGGGCTGCAGGAGCCGGGAGTATTCGCCAGGATACGAAGGGAGAGGACAGCTTTCCTCACCAAGTACATGCCGAAGTCGATGGGCAACATTATCTCTCGAGCCATGGGTCTGTCTTCGTTCTGTCAAGGCGAAAGCATCGAGGCGAACGCCAAGATGAGGCGCCAATGTAAGCGCGCCCTCGATGGGTACTATTCCAACACAATCGTATCTTCTCGCTGCTCGGTACCAGAACAACCTGAACCCCCTCTTCAGAGTATTTTGGTGATTTTACGTGTTCGTGGTCGCTTGGTCTGATGCCGAGACACACCGATGCATGTTGCGAAGCAGCATTTTTGTTGATCAACCTACCTCAACCTTGTTTGTGTTTCTTACCTCAATGCAGACCTCCGCGAGGGCATCCTCGATCCTTTCCCGCTCCTGCTCGAGGAAGGGGTGCCCGCTATACGCCGAGGCCCGTTCAGGAAGGTCAACCCGCTCTTGTTGGTGACGGAGAGGAAAGGCGCGGCGTCCAGCCTTCACTACGGAGCTTTCCCTCTCGACGCCTTCCACACCGACGGTGCGGTCGATTACCATACACAGAAAAATATTTCATGTCGGGATACTAGCGGAGATCAGGTTTCTCTAGCAGAAACCGTAGTTGTTCTGAACGGGACGTTGTTTTGGCTGCACTATCGGTATTCCAGTCGGTTAGTACCCAAGATTCCTCCAAAATTCCAATTTTCTGTCCAACTTGGGGTCATTCGGCCATTGGTCTGCTCCTTTGATCAACCCCCGCTTGAGCTTTGGTGTCACATCGAGTTCCCCCGTGCTCACGCTTGCTCCCCGCGGTCAAACAGTATCGTGGTGGAAGGTGCGCCCCGAGAGTCTTCAGGACGAGTTCGGCAAGCTCGCGCCAAGGGTAACCAAGCACCATGACGCCGGCTCCCACAGCGGCCCAGGCGGTCCGAAGGTCGCAAATGGCGTGCGCCAAGACGCATGGTTCGGCACCGCCCTGGAGGAGCTCGCCCAGATGTGCGGTGCATTTTTGGCGGCGACTACCACTTCGGTGTCCTCGGCAGCACCGTCCCTGGGCATCATTTTGCAAGTAGGGGATGCCCTGAACTTCTGCGACGCCCTCCTGACGGCTTCACCATCGCGGGGGGCGGCGGTATTTGCACCAATCTCCTTCCAGCAAGGATCGGTGCAGCCGTTGCATGTCCGCGCGGATATTTTCAGTTGCCAGCCAGAGTTCGACGTCATCAGCACCAACAACCTTGTGGAGCACCTTGGTGAGTCTTTCGGAGTGCGATTCAGTTGAAGGGGTGGTAGCTTTACCGCCGAATCGCGAGGCACAACTCCGTCGTTCATGCGGGCAAAGAACATTTTGGTATGATGTTCATTCTGACTTTCCCTGCGAAATAGCCGTTTGCTAATCGTGTCTTTGTTCGGAACGTTTCAGGCATGGTGAACGTCTTGGTGGCCTCTGCGCCGCTCCTAAAGACACTGCCTCACGCCGTGCTGCTTACAAGCCTCATGGCGACTCTGGTGAACTTGCATCAGTATAAGGATCTAGCTGATTTCCAGGCGAAGCTCTTGTGCATGAGCTCCCAAGCCGCCGGGATCCTGCTGGGTGAGTAAGGGCCGGGCTGGGGCGTGTTCCTCTTTGAACTAAAACGTTTAAATCTCTGTTGTTTCTCGTGCAGTCGTACTCATCGACCGGAGTGAAACGTTTGGCTTGACCATTGCCCGTTACGAAGCGCAAGACATGTTTGTGGAAGACATCTTTGCGGTAGGTTGTGAGTGCGGAGATTCGTTCGCCAATGCAGAATGAGTTGTGCTTGCAGGGGTTCCAGTAAAATTGATGTGGAGGCGGTAACAAATGGATCGCCAGTTGCTCCTTGAGCAACCCATGATTGCCTTACTCGATTCTTAAAGACGAGGACGGCCAAGCTTTGCGTGGAAGAGAAGCCCTTCGGCCGCTACTTTCCCACAGGTAGAGCACCACCGTATTTTCACCATAACATTTGCGTCAAATTGAAAACGTCTGGAAGAGTACTCAATCTTGCGCTTTCATTTAACAATGTCGATTTTGGAACATGTTTATCTGCGCCCGAACAACCTTGAATTGCTGTTTTGGGCATTCATCCCATCTACTGGACGCCCTGAATGCTTCAGGTGTTGTTCCAGTATCGAGTCTTTCGTCGGTGGTTGGTCACGCGGACACGATGACCCTCGTGGCGAGCAGCCTTGGAACAATGTTTTCCCGGCAAAAGGGGGCATCGGAGTCAGCGCCAAGCCAATTTCGTCTGGTGTGGAAACGGCCGTCGGCAGCGCTCGGAGAATCCGTGGTGAGGCGGAGCAAACAGAAGACCCAGCCGTAGCGCACTTGGTGTCACGATAGACTGCAAGCTATGTATTCGTAGCGAAATTTGGTCATGGGATGGGGCGCGGTAGTGTTCGCAGGTCGCGTTGTGCGTCTCTTTTTGCCACGATAACCGCCTTGTTCTTTAGAAAGATAAAGTTGCGTGCTAGGCCGTGGGCCATTTTAAGCGGTAGGGGTGTCGAGTGTCTCTGAGGGTGTTGTCTGTGCCTCTTCCGATACAGCTTGGCATTGGACTCGGGGAGTTGGCTGCTATCGTGCACACTTTGCGCCTGGACGACGAAAGCTGATCCCCTTGCTTGTTGCCTTTTCAACCCCCCCC